GCTCAGCCCACCAGGGGGCGGGCTGGCTGGCATGTGGTGCTGGGGATTGAACCGTGGTCCCTGTGCTTTACTGAGCTTGTTCTAAGTAGGTGCTTTAGACCACTGAGCCATCTCACCAGCCCCATATATATCCTGTACTTTAAACAGTATACAAGAAGCTTTACTTAAAAAAAGCATCCCTAATTTTAAGAAAGTACTGTTGGTTAATACAACTATTATTAAATCTCAGGCCTAAGAGGGCATTTAAAAAGCAATAAATTGTACACAAATAAAACACTGGCCTGGTACAGAACAATTTCTACTGTAAATACTTAGGGGCTTTATATTTCTATTGAATTAAGTTGAAATAAGTTTTATGAATTAGCACTGATTCTATTCCAAAGTACACCTGAAATGAAGCAACCACCTCCAGGGCCACTTGTTTTTTCAAGAGTTAATGTAAACAAACATTAATCCAAGACAAATACAGAGTTCACAAAAATAAATGTAGCACTCAGTAAAGCAGATGTTCACTATGTCTCTATAAATAACATTTTTATTTTTGTGCTACTGCAGTTTTAGCAGAATATATATGGAAGTACTGATGAAATGAGTGGTGCTTATTCTGAAACTGTTAGAAACGGAAGAAAAAAAACCAGGCTGGGGTACAGCTCAGTGGCGGTGTACTTGCCTACATATGAAGCCCTGATCAATGACCAGAAGTTGATTTAGGGAAAAGGAGGGCTAGTATCCTAAGAGTTGTAAGCACGTAAGTGTATTTGTTTTTTTGTTTGTATTTTTTTTTTTTTTTGGAGACAGGATCTCACTATGCAGTTCAGGTTGGCCTTGAACTCTTGGCTATTGTCCTGCCTCAGCCTGAAATCCCAAGTTCTGGTATTACAGGCAGGCACCACCACACCTGGTTAGTATATATGTGTAGTAAATAGCTTATTGCTTTCACAAGCAAATATCAAATATAGAAATTCAATTGTAGTAGGTGAACACAGGGCTGCCACACATGCTTGTAGCCCCAGTGACATGGGAGTCCGAAGCAAAATGATCACAAGTTACAGGCCAGCCTGGGCAACTCAACAAGAGTTTCTCTAGAAACAAAAAATGAGCTGAGAACGTAGCCCTAAGCTCCACCTTAGTACTAAAAGAAAATTTATAATAGAAATTTATAATCTGAATCTTGAGCAGATAAATGACTCAATATGACCACAACATCCTTCAAGGGAAGGTCTTGTGACTCACTAATCTATTTGATACATTACTGAAAAATTCTACCACGTTGTACTGTTGGGACGAAGGATACAACAGACAAAAGATAGTCTTAATTTTTTTTTTTAATTTTTAAGAGAGTATAGGGGCTGGGAAGATGGCTCAGTAGAGTAAGTGCTTGCCTGGCAAGCGCAAGTGCCTGTGTTCAATCCCCAGTTTTGCCATCAAAAAAGAAAAGGAGAGTATAGAATAGTATTAAAGCAGAAAAATCACAAGTGATACAGGATTTCACTTAACAAAATAATATGAATTTGACAGTATTTGTTGTAATGCAGTGCTGTCTTCCAACTAGTTGTTCATATCGCCAGACACATGCATGTAAAATTGGAAGAAAGAAAAAATGAAATACAAAAGACAGTCTTGTACTTGAGCTCACACTCTAATCACAAAGCATAAATAATATATAATAGGAGTCACGAATAAAAAATATTTAAAAAATGTAAGTGCTGTGAAAAAAAAATAAAGCAGGGCAAAGGGTTAGAGTAGGGACTATACTGCCTCCCTCAACTCTAGAGCTGTTCAGAAATGAGTAGAGATGTTTTTGCTTGTTATGACCAGGCATGGAGAACGTTTTCCAGGCATCCAGTGGGTACAGGCCAGGGATGCTGCTCAACATCCTACAAGGCATATGTTCCCCCTTGTTATGCAATGCAGAGCTATGCAACCCAAAAGGTCGAGAGTGATGAAGTTAAGCAACCCTGGGTCCTAGCGATGATGTGCAAGGAATGCTATTTAGACAGAGTGGTCAAGAAAGGCCACTTTGATGTGGTTACATTTGAGTATAGACTTGTATGAGGTAAAGGAACAAACCATGTACCTATGTAGGGGAAGAGATTTAAGGTGGAAGAAGTGGCAAACACAAAATCTAGGATGCTGCAGTGCTGCTTGGGGGAATACTAGAGATCTAGCTTGCTTTGTGCAGAGTGAGTAAAGGTCAAAGTGCGAGGCAGACTGGGTAGATTTCTAGACTATAGTACATATTTTGGGTTTTTAAGTGTTATCTAAGTGCAATCATATTAGCTAATTTTTGTCAATTACTAAATAATAAACATCATACATGAAACTACTTCACCAATACTTTGAAGGCTGATGAAATTCTGTGTGTGTGTGTGTGTTTCTTGTTTTGTTTTTGTGGTGCTGGTAACCAAACTCAAGGCCTTGAACATACTGGGCAAATGCTTTATTTCTTTTTTAAATTTTATTTATTTGTGTGTGTGTGTGTGTGTGTGTGTGTGTGTGTCCAGCTCAGCCCACCAGGGGGCAGGGCTGGCTGGCATGTGGTGCTGGGGGATTGAACTGCGGTCCCTGTGATTTGCTAAGCTTGTTCTAAGTAGGTGCTTTAGACCACTGAGCCATCTCACCAGCCCAATGCTTTATTTCTGAGCTATCTTCAGCCCAAAAGCTGAAAAAATTCTACTTAGTTACAATGCAGTATACTTCTAGGTTCAGAGTCTTTTTTTTTTTTTTTCTTTCCCACTGCTTGGATCTGAACACAGGGCCTCACGCATGTGAAGAGCCTCAGGCTCTGCAAGGAGCTATACTCCTACCACCTAGAGTTAAGTCTCTCTCTCTCTCTCTCTCTCTCTCTCTCTCTCTCTCTCTCTCTCTCTCCCTCCCTCCCTCCCTCCCTCCCTCCCTGTCATTTAGACTCATTCTCCCTATGGAGTAATCCACAATCCAGCAGGTTGATCTCACATGCTGGGATTACCACCATGCACCATCATCACTCCTAGCTCAACAGATACCCTTAAGCATTGCTTACCATGTTTAAAAATCTGTCAATTAGCTAGGTGGCGGCACATACCTGTAATTCCAGCTATGCATTTGGGAGGCTGAGATAGGAGATTGCAAGTTGGTGGTCAGCCTGGGCAATTTAGCAAGAGCTTGTCTCTACACAAAATTTTAAAAAGAATGATATGGGGCTGGGCGTGTAGCTCAGTGGCTTGCCTAGCATGTCAGAGGCCCTGAATTCAATCCCCAGTACCACAAAACAAAACAAAAACCCAACAATAACAAAGAAAAATTATCAATTAAAAATATATACTTTGGAAGGGAAAAAGATATGCTTATGTATATATACAGGATAGTTTGGATAATTGTACTGCTGATTTCTACTGAAAGGAGCAGTTAATGCTTAAATTTTTTCTTCTCCTTTTTAATTTCTTATAACTATTTTTTAATTACCAATTTTGCATGTTCACTTCTGGTAATCTAAACAACTAATTTGAAGACAACATTATACAAGACAACAACCATTTTCGAAATCCTATTATTTGTTTGGTGAAATTTTATATCACTTGTAATGTTTTAAAACCATTTTGTATTCTCTTTAAAAAATAAAAAAAGCCCCCATAAAAAATGTACTTCGGAAATATGAATTGCAAGCTTCTCGATACTTCTGAAAATTACTTATAGTTCCTTCAAGACAAAGTACTCAATTTCCCTGGGGCGTATCTTCACTCCTTGCTTTGAATTTATAAAAGGTTATATATCTTTACTGTTCTACATATAAACTGTTTAGATGTAGAAATCAAACAAGAAAAGTGATCGATGATGTAGAGTGTGCTTAAGGAGAGTCACATGGAGAGAAAACATTCTCTCAGGCTTTCACAGAAAGCACATTGGCCAAGCATTGGCCGTGACTCATCCACATGGCTGCACTGACAAAGGTTCTACAATCTGAGGTACAGGATCTCAGGATAAATCCTGAGGGCATTTCACTGACCTTCTCAGACCAAAAAGCTACAACTCTTATTGCACAGGTCCTGCTTTACCTTGGTCTTATCCATCCAGTAGAAAAGTATAAAGTCGAAATATAAGAAATAAAGCCACGCTGTTAAGTTGAGCTGTGGGGGACTCAGGTCAATAATTTCTGACATTGCCAGTTAAACAGAAGACCCAATGCTATTATGGGCTACTGGACTCTTTTAGAATATTTTGCTGAGTTTACACACCTATAATATTCAAATAACAGAATTTAACAAAAAAACGGTATACAGATGAATGTCCATTTTGTATCTGTGTATTCAAAGTGTTTAGGATAGATATATAGTTACATTTTCTTAATGAATAGTGATCTGTTCTAATGGTGTTTGTAAATAGGATATTATGTCCACATCTTGTACAGCAATTAACCACTAAAAGAAAGTATGCAATGTGCTAATTATTGAAACTGTCCTACCAATTTGATTTGAAACTGTCTCATTGCTATTTGTTTATCAATAAAATTATGGGGAAAAAAAGAAATCAAACAAGAAATATCCAGTTACTAAACAGAACAAAGGAATCGACATGGCATTGTGGCCGAGTCTGAGCCATTCTTTGATCTTTTCTTTCTTCAGTGTCTATAGCCAAATTTATGGCCAGGTCCCAGGCAGAGGACTGAGAGTCCACAAGCTGCGGAGCTTGCTGGGGCAGCCATCGGAGCGAGACCGCAGAATGGTGAAACGAGGGCTCACTTGGCCTTGGCTACAGATGAACAACTCTTGATGCAGGGGAATCTTGGGTTCAGATATATCTACCCCACATAACGCCAGTCTGTTTCTCTCATTTTCTTTATAAAGTTAACACGGACATCAGTCTTAGGAACTGAGTGTGACAACAGAAAAGAAAGGTACATGGCATAGTTGAAGGGACACAGAATGAGAACAGTGTGACAAAGGATGTAATTCCAATTTGGCTACTAATTTGAGCAAGTCACCTCTCTAGGTCTTAGTGTTCCCAGCTGTAAAAGAAGTGCTTTGGACCAAACAGTCTCTGATGTCCCTTTTGACTCACACTGATTCTAAACCAGAACATTCGAGCTTTTACACTCTTCTCCTCCTACACACATATTTTTGAAAACCAGAGTCAGAATAATAATGCATTTCAAAAACAGATAAATGATAATATTCTGATCACTACTATATCTCATTACCAGAATATAATATTGTTTCATTTTAACTACCATTAGAGAAGGAAATAGCTTACTCCTTTTCATTGTCAAAATCTCAATGATTTTTTTTTTTTTTTTGCAGAACCAGGGATTGAACTCAGGTCCTTGCGCTTGCCAGGCAAGCACTTATTCTACTGAGCTATCTCCCTCTCAATGATTTTTGACGGAAAACTATTTTAAAATATACTCTCTCTTTCTGACTTCTGAAATGGGATAGCTGAGGATAATTTAATCTTTTGTTATCGTATTGATTCCAGCTTAGACCTGGCATAATAGGTAGTTAATAGTTGTTCTTAATAACAGAAGTCTGGCCAGGGAGCTGGCTCAGTAGAATAAGCACTTGCCTGGCAAGTGTGAGGGCCTGAGTTCAATCCCTGGTTCTGCAAAAAAAAAAAAAAAAAAAGAAAGAAAGAAAAAAGAAAAAAGAAACAAAAGAAATAATAGAAGTGGTAGGTAGAGATATTTTAAGCTAAATATTTTAAACTAAAAATCACAAGGGATTGAAATCTGCGTGAAAGTGCCCAAGGCACCAAGCCTCCATCTGGCAGTTTATTTGTGTTAGATAGAAGTCAAAGGTTGCGATCAGAGAGAACTACCATTTGCATGAACTTTACAATAACCTCTCTTGAGCATTAATTGGAAAATAGCTCACTGAAGTGATTAAAGGATGTCATGAAGTAGCCACCCTAAAATATAACTAACATTAAATGACCATGTGTGGAAACTCCTTTTTTAAGATACAGTAGTGATAGCAAATACTTTTACAGAAAGGACAGAAAAACATGAAGGGGAATTGGGGCAATAAGAATTTGTTATGTTGGGGCCGGGGAGATGGCTCAGTAGAATAAGCACTTGCCTGGCAAGCACAAGGGCCTGAGTTCAATCCCTGGTTCTGAAAAAAAAAAAAAAAAAAAAAAAAAAAGAATTTGTTATGTTACATGACAGTCTTTGTTATTTGTTTGTTTTTGGCGGAACTGGGGATTGAACTCAGGCCCTTGCACTTGCCAGGGAGAAAGTCTTTGTTATTAGGCTGCGCATCTCTTGATTCATATTTAGCCTCACAGACAGTAAGCGATGGGAAAAGTTACGTTTGTAGAATCACTGGTTGCCAGGCACTGACTGCAGGGGGGAAAAATCCTTTAATTCTGGATGAGGGCTTTAAAAACAAAACTAAACAACTGACAAAAATTACAGAAATAGCACTAAAAAGACTGACTGGCAATTCATCAGGAAACCAAAACTTGACAGAAATATCCCTTAAATAACATTGAATCTCATTCCCTTTGTTCTAATCCTGTCCCTACCCAGAAGCCTTCAGATCTGTAATTTGGTTTTCTAAGTGAACACACCCACCGAGGAGGGCCCAAGTAGGCTAGCAGGGATGACTGTCAGGTTGGTTTATTCCAAATGTAGAAACTCGCTCTGACGTTATAAAAAAACTGCCTAGGGTGGGCATACCTTTAGTCCCAGCTACTTAGGAGGCTGAGGCAGCATTGCCTGAACCCAGGAGTTCAAGGCCAGCCTGGGCAATAGAGCAAAACCCTATATCATAAAAAATAAAATAAAATGGATGGACTAAGAGCCTGCTTTGGCAAGTGCAGGGACCAGGATTTGATCCCCGGTCATGCAAGCCACCCTGGCAGCACCGGCCAGACCCCAGGGCACACTGAGCCAGGGACTGAGTCTGGGGGCGTGGTGGCACATGCCTGTAATCCCAGCGCTGGGGAGGGTGAAAACAGAAGGATCACTACGAGTCTGAGCTGCGTAGTGAGACCCTGTACCAAATACATAAATTAAAAAAAGGTTTAAATTACCCACCAGGGCTTCCTGAGTATCTACTTGATTCCAGGCACTGAACTGGACCTCAAAGAAGTAGAAATTATACAAAAGCCCTGGCTCTCACTTTAACCAGTATCTTCCAAATCCTTGTAAAATTTTTCAGTCACGCAGGGGAATCTATCTTTTTATATTCCCAGAGATGAGAAGTGCATGTGACATCTTTAGCAAGTTCTACCTACTCCTCTATCTGCTTGCATTTCATCCGCAGATGTTAATCCACCCCATACTATCTCTGTGATCAAAGGCATTTTAGTGTTAGTAAATTATATCAAGCCATTCTTAGAGCTCCTAAATCACATATTTTGAAGAAAATAATTTAAATTTCAATAAGAAGGCAGAGGGAACGTATAATGGCAGCTAGCAATTAATTTTACAAAATCCTCTCTCCCAGCTGGTCAAAGCACTTGAAAGACAAAATAGCATGCAATTATGTTTAAAGAATTTTATGTTAATTTTATTTCCAATCCCCAGTTAAAAAAAACAAAACAAAATGCGTCCTTAAGCACTATCAGGGATCTGATGTGCTTTGAAAGGTCAGAAAATGAAGTAGCTTAATGGCATTTCATATAGTGTCCCTCTCATCAGTGACATTAATCAGGAGCTCAAATTTGCATTAGAAGGCAAACTTTTCCTTTGAAAATTTTGACATAAACATGAGAATCTAGTAATGAATGAACCCAGAAAATACTGACCTATGTTGAAAGCAGTTTAACAGCTGGAAAGTAAGTCACAAGCATCACGCACGATGCTGGCCCTTTATTTTCTCACCAAAAAAGTCAGATTTCTGGAAGCGCTTCCTGACTCGTTTCCCACTTCTAACTATACATTGGCAAGGGGTGGGAAAGGCTCTGGAAGAGTCGTCTGTTGTAGCATTGTATTTTCAACCAGCTGATAAAGCAGACATGAATGATCACTCAACCTGTGTTATCCAGGGCAGTCTCAATTTTTTATGTATGTATGTATGTATGTATGTATGTATGTATTTATTTGTGGAACAGGGGATTGAACTCAGGCCCTTAAGCGGTTATTCTACTGAGCTATCTCCCCGGTCCTGTCTCAATGTTTCTGTCAGCGCACGTCTCAAATTTTTTGGTTCAGAAAATATGGTCAGTATGGGCAGATGTCAACAGGCACCAGGAAAAAGAAACGCTAACTAGCCACTAGACAAAGTGCTGGCAGAAAGTAAAGGGCTAACTTTTTTTTTGGCGGAACTGGGGATTGAATTTAGGCGGCAAGTGCTTATTCTACTGAACCATCGCCCCAGCCCCTAGGGCTAACTTTTAACGAAAAGACACAGCATCCTTTAAGAAAAAGACAAAAAAAGTCTCCACTCTACTTTTAAAAATTCACTCTGCACTCCCAGGACAGCACCAGATAGGCCCACCTTTCATCCTGGTTACCGAACTCATCAGAAAGAACCAACTGTCTGCTCCAAGGAATGTTTCTCTGTCTCCGTCTCTCTCAGAGGCCACACGTCAGACTCACATCTGCATTTTGTTTTAAAGGAAATCTCATTTTCTCTTATGAAGTATTATTATAAGTGCCAGTTACCTCTCCCCAGCACCCTCCCTCAAGTAACCTCAGAGTAAATAAACTTATTATACAGCCATGTTCCTGCAGAAGTTTGAATCACACCAAGAATGCATATCCTTAAAAGGAAATGTTTTCCCTCCCCTTGCATCCTGTTATTTAAGCTATTTTAAGGACTTGTCTGGAGAAAGCTGAGCCAGAATTCAAGTGGTTTTGATTTTAGCTGCTGTTTTACATTGCCCTTGTCCAGGTGGCTTGTGCTGCAATCTATCACTTCAAATACATCTTTTGGGGTGCAACTTTGGCTTATAAATCTGACAGTAGGAAAGACTAGGACTTCCTTTAACCCTCAGACCCTGTGTGTGTGTGTGTGTGTGCGCACACACACGCACGTGTGTACTGCTTTAACTGTCCTTGTATCTATCTAAATCTGGAGTTGCTAGTTATAAAGAGTCTCACACTGTGTGCCCTCATCTGTGACACACATGCGGGTCCTTTATTAACTTAACTCTGGACAGTGCTCATGTAAGACTTAAAGAAGAAAGCCAATCTAGTGCAGATGTACATTTTTCCAGAAAAGCCGAATTTAAAAGTTCAATTCAGTTTGAGCAATAGTATTCATAAGTTTTAGCACCAAAACAGGAGCCTAAATATCTAATAATGGCTTTGCACATACACACAACCCTAAATGCTGATGAAAGCTCACAAAATATTGATTTAAAAGACTTAGGAAAAGACTTCTACACAAAAATTTATATTCCATCCCAAGATCTAAACAGTGAAGTCAAGCTTTCATTAGGCATTAAAAGGCAGCTGCTAAACATCTCCAGATGCTTAGCTAAATGTGGGCTTGGCCTTTCACAGCTTCTACCTTTTGAGGTAGCTCAGTGCAGCAAATACGAGAGGCAGTTTAATGAGTCCCACTCACAGGTAGGCTAGAACTCCCTACATTAGGAGTTCAAATGTGGATTCCTAAAGATGGAGGTGAAGTACAGCTAAAGATTGCATCAGTTTAGAAGACTAAGACCAGGCAATCAAAAATATTGCCTCTCAATCCTTTTTGCAAATACTTTCAGTAGTTCAGACATCATTTTTCACTTGCTGCTACTTTAAAAATACTTCCATGATGAAGGATAGTCAGGCTAAGGACAGAGTATTAGCGATTGCCTT